CTAACATTTCATCTTCTATGTGATACATCTTTTGTAACAGATTTCAAGTACACCACAAAACTAACGCGGTTTCAACATCTTTGTGCTCAGAAGAGTGACCAAACATAAAGCAGATGTAAGGGTCCTTATCCCAACCCCTGAGTCATCCCAGCCCTAAGTGAGGGAGCCAAAACACTGCAGGAATAGGTTTTTGCACATTTTTTCTTGTTCCACTTAAAAACAGGATAATTGTTTTGTCCTTTCCACTGTCTAAAATAGGATGCATCTCTTGGTAATGCCTAATAATTGGATTGGAAAGCTAATGAAGTGCAATTTAGTAGACGGGATGCTTCTCAATGAAAAGGATTTGAAAACGCAGAACGAGGGGTGAGGCGGACACAGTGGATGTTTCAGAACAAAAACAAGTCTTTCAGTGTTTAATGTATGTAAAAAGTTGGAAATTAAAATTTGGCATTTCACTACGAAGGCTAATTTTGTGTTTCATATACAGTACATGATTCATATACTTTACAGTGACTGCTCCACCTCACACAGTGGCTGTGTAAACCCCTTGCCCTGGCAATGTGCCTCTGTGGGTGGGTTTCTTCTGCTACGACATGACACATCACGTGTTCTATGAATAAGGGTTTGTTACCGAGACATCTGTGCAAAAGTAGCAGCTGCAAAATTTCCAAATATATTGGAATATAAAGGGAAAACTGCACATCAATCCATCCTTTAAAGTGATACGTCTACGGCACTGTTTTTATCATTGCATTGGTAACCAAAGGCAGGGGCAAAAAGAGAGATTTTATTGAATGGCATCTAAATAATAAAAGAAAGCAAGTTTACAGAGCACACGTACAAGCCAGTGGAAGAAAACTGAGCCGCTAGTGTCCACTAGTGTGTACAATGAAAGTTGACTTCTTTTGAGAAATGTAAATCTGTTGGGAGACTCCCCAAATCGCAGCTCTCAAACAATGATGGATAACACTACTGCCGTCAGCCCCACCTGAACAAAAATCACTTTTAATGTGAGGATCAATTATACTATTGTATCTTGGGCCACTTCTATTCATCGAGTTTCCAGTTCGTAAAAAAGACAAGTTTGATCCTGATTTTTGCACTGATTCATGTCACTTACTTGGATCATCAACTTTAAGGTATTCTGTAAGATCTCAATGCACTGTTCTGGGTTATTACATGGTGACTGAGGTTATAAAAGACGTATATTCTAGTTTAACACATCAGACAGCCACTTAAAAAGACACTTTCAGTTTTGGACTACATAACACCAGCTACAATGAAGGGGAATTGGCTGATGTCCTAAAATGAAGATTTTATTGAGGTGCTCACTAAGGAAAAAGGACAAAGTTCTGGTATTAACGCAGAAGAAACAGAAGTGTTTTCAGGCAGTGGATTAGATTAAATGTAAATAATAATTAGGTGCATGACAGCTGCTGAGGTCTACCCATTAAGTTCCCTCAAGAAGATTTAAGACTGAACAAACTGTATCCAAAGTAGTATCCACAGTCAATATTATTTGAATTCAGCTGAATACATCTTAATGGTTAATTCAAAGCTGAAACGTATTTTAAAAAAGTCAAAAACAACATGGAATTACCTCTTCTTCTTCCTTTGCAGCTGGCATGCATGCCAAAGCAGCTGCTCTAACATACTGAAACTGCAGTGAAACCAATGGTTTTAACAATCTGTTCTCAAATTATTTTGTTACCATGTACTCGCCCAATTGAGAATTGCCAATTTAGTCTCTCTTGCCTTGGCTCACAACCATAGTTGTGACCAGAAGCACCACTTGCAGCAACCACACATGGAGGAGGGTGAGGACATACAGACCCAATCCTTCAGCCTCCCCACCTTTGAGCCACTCATCAGGCTGTGCAGATACATACACGAGGATCAGTGCCAAATGGTAGAGAGGCACACCCCTCACCTACAGCACTGCAGGTCTGCATGTATCCAGGAAATCACAGAGGCCCCAGAAATAGAGAGAGCCAGTCCAACACTCTAGCCTGTAAGCTGACTGCTGCTATCGGCTGAACACTGCCACTTGCAGAATCCCAGTTACAGTGGGCTAGTGACTTGACTCAGGCTCCAACCACAAATTCTCAATCAAATCAATACAAGTCGACAGATCCAGCGATTGTCGTTACTTGTTGCACAAACTGGGTGAGTGTGCCCACTAATTCATCCATTACTGTGAATTTGGAGCTTGACTCCATCCCTGTCTAAGTCTTCTCTTCTCATTTGCTTGTGGCATCATAAATGAGAGAACCCATTCATGAGGAGTACTGAGAAAGCATAGAAGATACAGCCAATCATGGAGAGAGGTGCCACACGGATAAAACAAATCTAAAACATCAACAAGTGGGACAGCACTTGACTATGTTAAATCACCCCGTGAAGATGGAGCAATGAGCTAAAAAAAGAAAATAAACATTCACAGTCTCAGAGAGTGATATTTCTAAGTACCATATAATATTTCAGAAGAAAAAACTATTTAACCAAACAGTTAAGGCACAAACTCAGCTTCCCTCTCCCGTGCTGTAAATACAAAGCCGAGAGAACATTGAGAGGCACAGTACAGGCTTTCCTAGAAATTTGTAACAAGGCAAAAATATCATAAAAGCCAGTATCACAGTGGTAGAAAATATTCCTTGAAGATGGCCAATTAAAAATCAAACAGAGCTGCCAAATGACCCATGGGAATAATTTCTTACAGCCTTTTCTTTATGAAGCAATGGATTATTAAATTAAATTTCTAAGCAGAAGAAATAAAATCAGCTGCCGTCGGAGACCAACCAAATTAGTATAGCAAAAAGAGTTTAGGACAGGCAAAGTTGTAAGAAAATTCTGTTCTCTGTGCCCTGGGTGTCAGAGCTTGGATGAAACAAATGCAAGAAGCTTATTAAGCATAGACTGCATGCTAATGACACATTACAGCAATTAACACTGTAAAAGGCCTTCATATCATTTGATATATTCATATATCCCTTGCTTAGTTCAATCCTTACATTTTGTTTAAAGGGTTTGGAACCCCTGCAGCTGTGTCCTTGTAAGAAAAGTGGGTGAGGTGAGATATTTCATCCTGATCGAACACTCAGATCTGGCTGAGGAGGGCTGAGCAAGCAGCACGGCAGTCTGCAAACTGCTTTTTTGTTTGATGGTTCAACAAGTTCCAAACCTCAGTGGGAAAGGTTGAACTTTTCTGGCGAAATGTTTCTTATTCACCCTCTTATTAAGCTCTAACACGACACTTTTCCCTCGCACAACTAAAATGCTAACAGGCGATGGTTGGCAATTCAAAAAAAGACAGTTTTATGAAAAGGCATCATCATCCTTTTGATTTAACTTAGCGGAGCCTATGCTCATCTGTAAGTAAAACTGTCAAAACGTAAGTGTTCTTCAAAGGCAGATCAACAAAGATAAATGCAGTGAGCTACAGAGTTTTAACATGTCCATGCCACTTGAGGAACTGTTATGTACCAAATAAAGTAGGCAGTAGTTCAAGCAGACAGGATCCCTGGCAAATATAGTATTTCCAATTTTTACATGGAACAAGAATCCTGAAAGTATTTCCATTGGTTTGCTGTGTATGCAGAGTCTTAGGAGATGAAATTATTAGTGTGACTTTAGTCACACACACATTTTGCACCACAATACCACATTAAAGCAAAAACAAAAGAAAGTCTGGATGACTGCAGCAGACTGTTTCACTAGTCATTAAGCCAAGAACATGGGCTGAATGCTGGAGGCACTTCACACACATACAGTTACAGCTGAAATTATTAAACCTATGTCATTTGTACTTGCAATTTACTGTATATTTGATCCTACAGTACCATTACAACTACATATTTCAATGGCCTGAACGATTGACATGTCTACAGCATAGCATTCATCTTCACATAAGCAAGTTTACACTGCAGCATATTGGGAAAACGCAGTGTTAAGTCATGACTGAAAAAAGTGTTAAGACTAATGAGACATTGAATGCCATTTGGACCGTGGCGGCGGTCCAGAATCCAATTTAGGTCTCAGGATTTATAAAGCGAAGTTTTTGGGTTTAAATCCCGGTTAGGCACTGCTCTTGTATACTTTAACGAGGCACTTTACTCAGATTATTCCGGTAAAATGCACCGGTGCCTAAATGGGCACACATGGACGTCGCTTTAGAATAGACACATTTGCTGATATGTCATCATTGTAACTATAGGTGTAAATTACTAATAGTGATCAATTTCCTGGCAGCTGGCTGTGTAAGTGGACGACATCCATTTGCCATGTTTTTAAAAAGGCGTCAGCTACGCCTTTGAATGACTTATGTCTGACTCTTAACAACAGAAACATCAGTCTGCAGTACCAGAATGACTTAATATCCACCATTCACATGACAACGTTGCCACCGGCAGCCGTGACCGCTTCTTTCCAGTGCACTCGCTAGATCTAGCTTAGTGCCGTGGCGCTGCCACCGGTACAATCTTGCCATTCAACTTTCGCAGTACAAGCGCGATTCCACTTCACCTATACTTTACTTTCAGAGGGGCTGCCAACAGTCCCCGGACACAAGTGAAAGGCGCTTTAATGATCTCAAGATGTTCCGAATGGAATCCACAAAGCACAGCCAGTAGCTAGAACGGCGCAGATCACATTCGCTTTATCTGCCGTCGTCATTCAAAAAGTTTACCAGACAAAACAGGTTGTATGGACTGGTCTGCATGTTGCGCGCCGGCCTCAAGCTTAATTGGTGTTCATTTGATCCCGCTCAGCTGTCACAACAATGGGTTATACACTACTATACAGGCAAAGAGCTGACGGTGGTACTGGTGTGTGTTGAACAACCAACTTAGCGGTGTTCCGCAAGAACGAGGCAAGCAAAAGTTATCCTTTAGACCACGGAAGCAAAATAATGTAAAGAAAAAAATACACAAGTCACATGCATCATCAAAAGCAAATAATTTAAAAATAATATATATTATTTATTTTTAAATCCAACTCACAAATGTATTCGATACCAACTTGTCGTCTGTTGATAGCGTTGTTGTCAAGTTAGCGGATCCGATGCACAAGTGTCACAATATGACCTCTTCGCTCACTTTCTTCTTAGCTCACGAGTTCATTTCTTGCATTCGGCTTATTAAAACAAAACAAAAAGAGGAAACGTAGGATCTACAATCCTTCTGAAGAAACGAGCGATAATGATAAAGTACAAATGTGCAATGATATGTTGATGCTTTCTATTTCTTGTTTACTGTTCTGCTTCTTTTAAATGGGTAAAAGTTGCGATACAGGGGGAAAAGTCCTTAAGGTTTTTTTTTGTTTTTGCTTTTCAAAGAGGTTCAGCGAACATAATTTGTTAAACAGACAGTTCGATCTACTGTAGAAGCCAATTCCATTTCGAGAAGGAGCTGCAGCACAGATCGCCTCAATACAATGCAACTTGTTAATGGCGGCTTCCAAAACACAGATAGGGTGCGACGGTATCCACCCAAATTGGACTTCCTTTCAGTTTTCGATCGCAAAAGGTTATTCCGTGGCACCAGACTCAAATGATTTTACTAGACGAAATTATCTCCAATTTAGGAAATAAAAACAAACATTTAAAGAGGTTATCGTAATTGTATGAAATAGAACTCCCCTGTCGTGTTCACGTAGGAAATTCCACTCCCCCCCTCCAGCTCCTCCGCCCTCACCCTTGCGCACCATCAACAAGCCCAGGCTGTCAGGAAGTAAGTGGTCTGTGTTTACTGCCGACTAGAAAAAAAAAAACATCTTTGCATCTATAGCAAATTCTGAACGACTTCTTGTGCAGGCCTGAATTTTAAAACATCGAATTCAGTGCTTTTTAAAGTTATAATAAGCACTCTGTTGTACTCATTGCCACGTTGCTCCAAGTTCCCGGTCCTGACAAAATGTGAAGCAGACAGATGTTTTCGAGTTACTAACTTTGAACTCACCGGTTTATGACCGATGTGTCAAGGGCAAGAATAATCTATGTAGAATGGTGTAAAGTCCAAAAAATGATTCTTGAATTACTGATTACGAATGCATTATTCTATTAAACAATCCTATATACATATATATATTCCAGTATTTAGTTTCGCAGAAAATAGTTCATTGCACTGATAGTATCTTTGAGACACATCATAGTCCATTAACACAGTGGAGTGTTCTGAGTACTGAGGCAATATATCTGATAGTGATATATTTTTTATTTTAAACAACTTTTAGTCAGTTGAAGCCAATATTATTCTGAGCTGTCGCGTCCGTCAATCACCCTGCCACAGTCTTCCCAAACTTTGTATTTGTGGTTTAAGATTCATTATTTACCAGACCAATAAAATATAGGTCAGTTTAAGTTAAACTGGATTGCTCATCTCCAATGTTTTGTTTTCTTCTCACCTGTCCACGTTTAATGTCTGGGTTTTTTTTTTACGTTTTGCAAATTGGCCCTTTTTTCTCTGTGATTTTTTTCCTCTAGGTGGCAGGAATTGGTCGTGGTGTGCAGACGCGAACCGTTGTTTACTTTGTTGCCTTTTCAGTCTCAAGAAAATAATAAACACTACATTATAGCTCTTCCTATATGAGAAAAAAGATGTGGGCTAAAATAAGTGGTCATCATTTAAGGCACTTAAATTATAAATATATAATATTACAAAATGCTAAATGTGTAACAGCTATGTGCACAGCTGCCTTTTACTGACTTATGTTGCACTACAAGACTGTAAAATCATCAGTTTTACCCCGTTTAACGTTTTCTTCATCCATGCTGCAGTGGGTACCACTGTAATGTGCTGTGCTTGGCTGGGGCCGAGAATTTTGTAACTCAACTTTGCCACTGCAGGCTGCTCAGTTCCTCCTCCATCACGGTCGGTCTACACAGCACCCTCCTTCCATCTGCAGTGAATTCTGCTACACCCACCACCAGCACCATTCGCAGCCACGGAGTGGCATAGGCATCAGCACACGCACACAAAGTCAGATTAAGACGAAACAAGAGATGATTACATAAAGACTACCACGAAGAGAAGGCAGCGTGGCGTTTATACATGGGCGTGGGGACAATGATTGCAATAAAGGTAACCCCATCCTTTCCTACAGTAATACAAGGGTTGTGGCAACTTGTCAGATCCAATGCTCCAGTGGGAACCCATGTAAAGGCCCTCTTCTTATTTGTCACACCTTCCACAATAGATTGCTGTGGGGGGGCTATGACCCATTGATATTTGAGGCTTTCCCCTCCTTTAAACGACCATTGTATATTCAAACAGGATGACTAGACAGAAGAGAGCACCCTCCTTCACCTGCAAAAAACACCCTAGCTACAGTACTTGAGCCCCTCTTGACTGGTTGCTTGTGGCAAATTCCTAACAGCTTCAGCTCCCTGGTTGGATAGTTTGTTCACAGCTCTTTGTGTAAATAAGAGCCTCCTATTCTGAGTCTGAGTAAAACACACACACCCTTGATTTCCATCTGTGACCTTGGGTCCTCATATCATTGTAGCATTTGAAGAAGCCACTTGGATTAACTATGTCATTACCTTTCAGGAATGTGAAAACTTGAATCAAATCCCTTTGCTACTGTATCTGCTCAGTTCAGGAATAGAAGTGTTTGAGTTTTTTCAGAGTTTCAGTTTTTTTTTTTTATCTGTGTGTGACATTCCTTTGAAAACTGTGATTGTGATAGAGACAATGAAAAGAATGTAAGAGAAGTCTCAAATGAGAGGAAAGTTCTAAAGTGAAAAGAAGAGCATAAACAATAGGCCACAATGTAATTTGCAAATTTTTTATTGATGCTTCCTTGTTCCAGGATGCAATTTTATATAGACAGGAAACAACCCCCAATGTGTTGCACTAATGTTCTGAATGATATGAATATTGTTTCTTCTCTTCAAGAAAAGGATGCGTCCTTCTCCTCTACTGTACTTCTTTAAAGAAAGCAATTTGCTTTTCAAGCCCTAAGGAAATGCCATTATCATGAGGAATCCCTGTCAGTTCACCACTGGAAGAGAGGTACAGAAGAAAGAATAAATAAGTGCCAACAGAATCAGAATGCACTCAGTCAATGCATTGTTATGAGAATTGTTCTGAATCATTTCTGTGAACTGAACCAATTTCATCCGTTTCCTTGTAAGCTGCAGTGCCCCCGAGACTAGTAATGTAAAGTGCAACTCATTTTCTCATTTTTAAAAAAGGACATTTAAGACTCAGAGATATGTTATGGTATTTAAGCATGATTGAACTAATGCCAAACACTTCTCTTTTACAGTATAGCAGCATTTAGTTTTAATCATACAAACAGTAAAAATAGTAAGTCCCAAGTTAGGTTAACAAATGAGAGGAGGCCTTGAGAATGTCTAAGGTATGGTATTTGTTTTCCAGTAGCTAATTGATCCATGGATCTCATCCAATTTTTGTTGATTTATTTTTTATTTATTTTTCTTGATTGAGTCCCCTTGCAGTTTTCTGTGTTCAAGATTAAAAAGATTCTGTTCTTTCATCCTATCAGTGTAGGAAGCCCAGGACCTGTTGAGCTTCTCTGGACTGATTGCTGTGTACTAACTATCTAAAAGGCTAGAGGAGCTGAATTGGCCTGTTATTCGTATCCCTCTTTATGTTCTTATGTTCTAATATGGATTTTATTTGCATGTGATGAGAAATTTAAACGGCAGCAATTTAAAAGCTGCATAACTGAGATTATTCATGGAGCTTAATCTATACATTTAAATGAACTCTTTACCTTTGCTCACCAAGGATGAATAGACATTTTGCTGTCAACTCACTTTTAGTATTTATGGGCAGACAAATCAGACATGGAAGAAGGAGATGTTCTTAAATCAGGTGAATAAAATAAAATGAAATGGGAAATGGCTGATCTTCTCTTGAAGCTAGCTTGAGAGTTGTGTAGGTTACTATGAAATTGTCAAGGGATCTTAGTATGGTTTTAAATTTATATTCTGAAATGAAATGAGGCCATACAAACCCATTGGCCATGAAGAAATGAAAAAAAGCTACAGAACCTAAGGAAAAAGAATGAATTATGTCGCTTCATTGTTCATTATTGTCTCATCTAACTACAGTCAAGTGTCAGGAGTTGCCACTTACAACTACAGTATGCAGTCTGTTATTCTGATACATTATCACTTCCCTATCATTCTGTACAAAATAAGGGATCAAAAGTATTATGTTCCTCTCCCCATATCTATAAAAAAACGAAAAGAGCAAATAAACAACATAATTGAATGCATGGTTCATGAGTAGCCATAACAAGATAGCAATTTGACCACATATGGTCATACTGTCCTGACCAGCAATTGTTATAAGTAACACAGGTACATCGCACTTAGAACAGAGCCAAGTACCATCAAAAACTAGATTAATAGACACAAGCTATGTGAAATAAAACCAAAATCAGATTGAAAATAAAAAGCCCATCGTTTGTGCTCAATTTTGAGTTGCACTTAAGAAATGTGTCTTCCTTCAGTTTCTTAACTATAATGCACAAACCTTAAACCTTTAACTACAAACCTTAATGGTTTCATTGGTGCCTAAATATATAGCAATTCCAGTACATAATATCAGTTTCTGGGGCCTGTTTTCATTTGTATTGTTTTTACATCCCATGTCGCTTTTTCATGAAACGGAAATTCACCCACTGAAGCAATGGGTTTTACTTTGTGCCTGAAATCAGAGATCAGTTTCTTCCTTGTTCAGGAGAGAAAGCACATGAAGATGAATGAAGAACCTCAGCTGAACTACTGTAATTATATTTATGGTGGTGCTTGTGAGTTTATTTCATTGTGTGTAACCCACCAAAGACATGAGCACATTCCAGTATGACACACAGGAATGGCAGAGAAGAGAGGGGAGGATAAGACGAGCACATACAGTACTGTACAAGGCACAACAAGCAGCAGAACATTTGGACAAATGTCAACTGTTTTCCACAGTCCTTGTCAGTCCCGCTGTCCTTTTCAAACAGTGTATTGACACAGTGTTTAGCCACGGCCCCATTTGTCTCATACTCCTGCTCCCACTTTTTCTCCCACATATCTGAAAGTAGGCTCCATTAAACATTTTGTTTTCTTCTTTCTCATTTCAGCGTGCAATTGACCTCTACGTGTTCATAAGTCAGTTTTATCTTGGTCTGTTGTTAACTTCACTGTTGAATTAAGTACTCTTACATCTCACCTTGAGGCACCATATGTTTAAATTTATTTGTTTTTTAACCAAAGCAACTTACATTTACACCCATTTAAATTTCTGGGGATTTTACTGCAACCATTTGGGTGCAATATTTTGCTCAAGGCCATAACAGTATCTGGAGTTTTAACTCATCACCTGCTTGTTCCAAGTTCCGAGCCCTAACCTCTGCTCCATTCTGCTGCTGTGCAATAGTATGAATCACAACATTTTGATATATAGTTTGAAAATTCTTCCCATGAAACTAATGAATGCAATTTTTTGCATGCCTAAATTGATGTTGTTTAGACATGAATTATTCTGTTACCAGTGCTCTTCAGAATATCACTAATGTATGATGTTGAAACAGCTACTCTGTACATGGAATTTTA